CATCCTTTCCCTCCGTCATACACTGGCTCCTAACTTTTTTGGACTCTCCAATTGTTTTTGGGAGCCAGAACTCTGACCTAGAAGTTATGGATGGTTTGAACCTTCTAATATGAAGCATGGCCAGGCTATATATACCTTTGTCCTGGCTAGTATTAAACCTCAGATTTTGTTCTTGCTACAGTTGCAATGGGAACAGCTGGCTTTTCTCTTTCACTTGTTGTTTAATCATTTTAGTCGTGTCCAACTCTTCCTGACCCCATTTGGGGTTTTCTTGGCAAAGATTCTGGAGTGGTTTGCCTTTCTTTTTCCAACTCATTTGACAGATGAAGAAACTGAGCAAATGGGTTAAGTGACTTGCCCAAGGTCACATAGCTAGTAAGTGTCTGAGGTCACATTTGAACTCAGGTCTTCCTGAGTTCTAGGCCCAGAACTCTATACACTGAGCCACCTAGGTGCCCTAGTGCTCTTTCACTTAAAGTCACTTAAAGCTTTCTTGAAATCCCTAGGTAAATCAGTAGGCTTTTGGGTTTTAGTATAATTAATAAAGTATTAGTATAATTAATAAAGATCTAGTTGGGCTAATAATGATAATAATAATAATAATTCACATATACATAATGCTTTAAGGTAAATTCCTTGAGGACAGGGACGGCCTTTTGCCTTTCTTTGTATTGCCAGTGCTTAGCACAGTGCCCAGTGCATAGTAGGAGCTTAATAAATACTTGTCAACCTGACAAGGTGCTTTCTTCACAATAGCCCCGTGTGAGTGTAAATAGTGGTACCCTCATTTTGTAAATGATGAAAAGGAGCTTTAGAGAGTTTAAATGACTTGTGCAGGACAATATAATTAGCAAGTTAGCAGAGCCAGGATTTTGATCCATGTCTTTCCCAGTTCCGAGTCCTGCCCTCTACATTATGCCATGAAGAATTATAAGCTTGGAAAGGACCTTAAAAAGTCCTACCTGTCTGCCTTCAGTTAGGACTACAGGCAGACCTCAGAGATATTGTGGGTTTGGTTCCAGACCACCACAATAAAGCAAATATTGCAATAAAGCAAGTCACACAAATTTTTTGGTTTCCTGGTATGTGTAAAATTTATCTTTACATGATACTGTAGTCTACCAAGTGTGCAATAGTATTATGTCTAAAAAAGTACATACCTTAATTAAAAATACTTTATTGCTAAAATTGCTAACCATCATCTGAGCTTTCAGTGAGTTGTAATCTTTTTGCTGGTGGAGGGTCTTGCCTCGATGTTGATGGCTGCTGACTGCTCAGAGTGGTGGTTGCTGAAGGCTGTCTTAAAATAAGACAACAATGAATTTGCTGCATCAATTGACTCTTCCTTTCACGAAAGATTTCTCTGTAGCATGCAATGCTGTTTGATAGCATTTTACCCACATTAGAACTTTCAAAATTGGAGTTAAGCCTCTCAAATCCTGCTGCTGCTTTTTTTCCAACTAAGTTTATGTAATATTCTTCAATATTGTTGTGTCTCAGGGAAACAGGGAGGCCCAAGGAATAGGGAGAGAGACAAGGGAGTGGCTGGTTGGTGGAGCAATCAGAACACACACAACATTTATTGATTAAGTTTGCAGTCTTGTATGGGCATGGTTCATGGCACCCCCAAACAATTACAATAGTAACATCAAAGAGCAGTGATCACGGATCACCATAACAGACATAATAATAATGAAAAAGTTTGAAATTTGTGAGAAGTACCAAAATGTGACTCAGAGACACAATGTGAAAATACGCCATTGAAAAAATGGTGCCGATAGACATGCTCTATGCAGGTTTGCCACAAACCTTCAATTTGTTAAAAAAAAAACCAGTAATGCAAGATCTGCAAAGTGTAATAGAGTGAAATGTAATAAAACAAGGTATGCTTATACTTAAGCCTAAAAATTCCTAGGCAGATAAAAATGTGGCCTATAAGAACTTTCGGTTCTTCAGAGAACAAGATTCTGCCACTTTTCTTGCTAACATCTTTAATAATACTCACTGTCAGACAATACTTCTCAATATATACCTTAAATTCCTGGTTGAAGTCATCTTTTATTATCACTAAAAATGGAAAATAGCTGTTTCCAATATTATATACTTAAGCCTTTGCATACTCTTCTTATATTTAAAGAAGTCAATCTCTCTCACTTTTTGAACAACCTGTAGTCATGTATTATTGGTTAAAAATACTATGGTCAGTTGTGTGTGTATGTATATGTGCACATGTATGTAAACATATATATACATGCATGTGTGTGCATCTGTGTGTGTGTGTGTGTGTGTGTGTGTAGGTACTGTGTTGGATGCTGGGGATACAAAAATGAAATGAGCCCTAACCTCAAGGATTTTTTACAGGGTAGCAGGGGAGATGAGGCATTATACAATGAACTCTAATACATATTATCCATGGGGAGCCCCTACCCACGAGCCAATAAGAAAGTTCTCTCCAACTTTGACCTCTAGTGGACCCAAGTTCAGTCCTGTGGAACCCTGACCTCAAGGAGAAGGGATAAAGCTTTTCTCTTGAACTCTTGGACTTATATGTCCTTCATCTCTGAGTCTTCTTGTTTCTTTTTTAAATCATGAACATATTTATTTAGAGGTTAGGGGTAAGCAGTGGGGCTCAGGTCCGATCAAATAGAAAATAATAGTATCTGGCAGTGAGTAAGTAACTCTTTCCTTAGAGGCCTGTTATTGCTCTGGATAACTCCTATGTTTGTTCCTCTATCCTGGTGTTTCCCTCCACATTAAAATTTTTTTTTAATTTTTAGTCATTCTGAACTTGAGGGACACCAAACATACATGACCATTTGTATCCATAAAGAACAGGAAAAAAGAAGGATTTTGTGTGAAACCATGAGTCTACTTTGGTACAAATTAAAAAAAAATCTTCCCTTGTAACAAATGAATAGATTCAAATAAAACAGAATCCACGCATTGGCCATGTCTGGATTAATATATATGTTTCTTATACCTCAGGACTATCACCTTTCCATCTGGAGTGGGGAGAGCGCCATGTTTTTCTGTTGAATGTGGGGAGAGTGCCATGTTTCATTCTCAGGGCTCTGGAATTGTGGTAGATAATTGTACTGAGAGTTCTTTAAAACTTTTCAGAGTGTTTTCCTTTATGATGTTGTTACTGCATAGAGGAGGGATTCTTAGCCTTTTTCGTGTCATGGATCCCTTTGGAAGGCTGCTGAAACCTATGGACCCCTTCTCAGTATCATATTTCAAAATAACTGAAGGGAATGCTAAACTTCAGTTAGAAGGTAGTGAATATGAAGATGCTGTTTTTTTCCCATTTAAGTTTACAGACTCCCATGGAACCCAGATTAAGAACCCCTGGCTTCTTAAACTTGAACAAGAGCCTCATCTTCTCCTGCTTCTGCTCTTTTGATTCTGCATCAGTTTGTATAGATTTTCCCAGGTTTATCTCAATTTATCCCTTTCATCATTTCTTGTGGCACAACAATATTCCCTTCTATCCATATGTCATAATTTGGCCATCCATTCAAAGAGAAAATAAAATCTCTTAAAGCTTGGTTTAGCCTCCTGCTGGGGTCCCCTGGAAGGAATTAAAAGAGTCCCTTCTAGAGAAGTTCAACAAACGAAGTAGTAGATATCAAGAATAGGACAACCATGTATTTCAAATATCACAAAAGCAATGCTTGAAACACAGGGGACTCCTAAGTCTGAATTGACAAATATTTAAAATGTGAGACAGTAGCTCATAATTCTCAATATACTCTCTTGGGAAGTAGGAAAGACTTCAAGGAGATGTGGGAATGTTCAGTTGGAAGAGCAACTCAAAGTCCAGGTCTTCTCCTCTGAAAAGGATGTAGTTGCAGAAAATACCTCTTGTTAGCACCCCATAACTCCTAGCCTATTAAATTTACAAGGCTGTAAACATCCATCTCAGGATCACTGATTGGCCAATTGTAATCAGGGAAAAAACAAAGTGAAAAAGGCAGCTAGGGACTGGGTATTCAGACTTAGGCTCACCTAGGCAACATTATGCTCACTACTATGTGTGAGTAGTCATCATAATTGTTCCTGGAAAGTGGTAGAGAAATCCCTATTGGTTACTTGTTCAAAAGGGAAGAAGAGAGAACTAGAGTAGAAGTTGTTCCTCCTTTCAAAGCTTCTCAGGTTGATGGCCATTCCAGTTAGTTGACAATCATCTCTGACACAGCTCCCAGTAATGGGGTCCATGGGGACCAACCAGGAAACTCTGCTCCCACATGTCCTTTAGTAAGGGGCTAGAACTTGGGGTTCATCAGAAGGATCTAGGACACCCTCAGCTTCATAGAAAGTGCCCCAGTCTAGCAGATCAGGGGGGTGGGCTGCCCTGATTTTACCTCCTGGCCCTATAGTAAAAGTTAGGATGTATTTAAATGCAAAGGAGGGAGAAAAAAAGAGTGGAATTCAAGGAGGGATAGGTCACTTACAGAGGTAAGAGACCTAAGAGAGCATTGTGGAGGAGGTGGTCCTTGAATTTGGCCTTCAAGGAAGAGGGTTGCAAAAGACAGATATGGAGGTCTGTGTTCCAGGTATAGTGGGTGGTCAGGGTACTGTTAGTTTTTAACTCCAACCACTCTCTCCTCCTATCTCACCCAATACATGTGTGTGGGAAACTAGAAAGTTCAAGAGTTTGTGGAAGAGAATGAAAGAATGAAAGAAAAAAAAATTTGTTTAGCACTTACTTTGTGCTAAGCACTATTCTAAAGCCTGAGGATACAAAACCTTTCAGTGAGCTCACATTCTACTTTAGGGGAACAACACATAGAAGAAAGCTGAGCTATGAGGCAGAGATGTCCTAAGGATTCAGTGGTGGAGTGAATGGCAAGATATATCAACTGGTCAGATGGTAATATATGAGGCTTTGGATGGTGTAGCAACAGGGCAGGTAGTAAGTCCCAGAGGATCTTGGGAGCAGAATGAGGAACAAGAGAGTTCCTTGAGCACATTACTAAATCCTTCAATTCTCTTTTCAGGCCCGTGGTTCTGCAGGTGGCAGGAGGAGGAATGATGCTGCCTCTCAGGAAGACCAAGATAAACCGTACGTCTGTGATAGTAAGTATAGCCTCACTGCTCTTCCTCTCTCTCCCTTTCCATGTCCTCCCATCCTACTGTCCCTTACAAATCCTTTGGCTGTCAGCCTGGTCCACTTGGCTTCAGTTGCCACCAGGGCTTTCTCATCCCCTCCTCTTTAGGGAGATTTTTTTTTTTTTTTGCTGTTCCCTGGCTTGCATGTTGTGGTCTGCTGCTGCTGCTGCTGCTGCTGCTGCTGCTAGTGTTACTGCTGCCACCGCTGCTGCTGCTGTTGCTACCACTGCTGCAGCTGCCTCCTTCTCCTCCTCCATTTGCTGCTGCTACCTCCTCTGTGAGCGTTTCTGCATGAGGGGGAAAGAAGTGAAATGGAAAGATCCCTGCAGCAAGATTCCTGCTGGGCCCAGGACTGCAATAGTTCAGCTCTCTGGCATTGTGCTCCTTCATGGCTTCTCTCTCTCTCTCTCTCTGTCTCTCTCTCTGTCTCTGTCTCTCTCTCTCTCTCTCCTTCTCCCTCTCTTCCCCCCTCCCCACTTTCTCCCCCTTCTCTCTTCTCTTTCTCCTCTCCTTTTCTTTCCCTTTCTCTTTGTCTCCCTCTCCCTCTGTTTTCTCCTCTCAATTTCCCTTTTTCTCTCTTCCTCTCTTCTTTCTTTCTTTTCTCTCTTTCCTTCCCTTTTCTCTCCCTCTCTCTTTCTTTTCTCTCTTCCTCCCCTCCACTTTTTTCTCTCTTCCCTCCACCTCTCTCCCATCTCTTCTCTTTCTCCCCTCCCCATATCCTACTCTCTTTCCCTCACTGTCTCCTCTGTCTGTCTCTCTCTGTCTTTCTCTATCTTTGTCTCTCTCTCTCTCTCTTTTTAAGATTCACCCTCTATTTCTTTCTTTGTTTCAGATAGTTACAAACAAAAGCATAACCCAAAAACCTCCGACAAAGGTACTTGGTTCTTGTATCTTTTCATTTGTTCTTCCCACTAATTTCCTTCTTTTCCCTCCCTCCTTATGTAGGGAAAGCTATGAATCTATATGATGGTGACTACTTTTATTTTAATCAATTTTCTTTCCTCCCTCCCCCTACCTGGAACCATACAGTCTTTCCACTTCGCTAAAGTGTCTTTGATGGGTAACTGGCTATCCCTGGAAGGTAGGGATTAGCAAATAATACTGCAATAGGACAGTGAGAAAAAATGGTGGTTTTGTGAAGGGACAAGAAACCTGAATCTATCAAAGATTTATATACAGAAGAAAATGTGATCTGCCTTAATAACGAGAAAGATTTTGTCTTCTTTCCAAGTATAGCACCCATAGCATTATCTGCTGAAAGCCTTCGGGCAGACAGAAGCTCCTGTCCTAGATAACTTCTTATTGTCCAGGATACCCTCTGCTTCCACTCTATCAAGGGCACTTCTTAAAATCACAGTCCCTATTAATCTTTCTTTTCCATCTGTTCACCAATCTGAGAAGGTACACCATGTCTGCAAGTGACTACTCTCCCCAGCTCCCTTTTAGAATGCCAGAGAGGCAATGCACAGAGAGTTTAGGGGATTATCTAATATTTGGATGTTGACACTGGGGATATGTTCTGGAGTAATGAACCCCCCCCCATGTTTTAAAATAAAGTTTACAATTATGAGCTTACTTATGTAATATATTGGAATAGGGGTAGAGGGCAATCAATGGTAGGTGATAATGAGTGACTTAAGGCAGAGTAGTGACTTTCCTTCTATATTGATCTTAAAAAGTTGTTCCTTGTTCAGTAGAAAGTGATATAGCTGGAGTTTATTTTGTTATCAAACCCTCCAACCTTCATGATTCTTATTCAGTGACTTACTTAGCAGATGGGAATCAATTTTCAATGGGAAACAGCACAGTATGGAGGGAAGAACTCTGAATCTGCTCTCAGAAGAATTAAGTTTGAACCCCAGCTTGCTTCTTACCACTTGGGTGACTCTGGGCAAATCATAACCTCTCCAGGACTTAGTTTATTTATGTATAAAATGAGATGGATGGGCCAGATGATCTCTAAGGTATCTTTCAGGTCTAAATCCCATAAACTTATACTCCTATAGGGAATGGGCCCATAGTAACATCATTCTATCCAAGAATAAATTGGGGGCATTAGAGTGTTCCAGTGTCATCTTTCCATCACACATTCAAGGTGAGATAGAGCCTCTTTTGACCCTGGGCAACAAACACAGTTTAATTTCCCTGATGAAGTTCAAACACATCCCTTCCTACATCACAGATTTGTCTTGATCCACTGTAATCCTAGCCTGCCAGCTTCCTAAAGGTCTCTGTTGTTCTGGGGTAATGAAATGTGAAGTTTCCTTGGCCCCTTCAAAGAAGGGTCAATAGTTTTGTCTTCTTGCCAAAGAAGGCATTTCCATGTATAAAGAAAAATGGGATATATCCAGAATACCTGTCTCTTGATCTGTGTGAGTTTTTAAAAGTTATCTGTCCTTTTTTTGTGATTTAATATCACGAGGAATTTCCTTACAGAAGCTGAAATTGTTTAGCCTTTGGATGACAAAGTTTTTGCATTGGCTTCCCAGCTAAAGCTGACTTTAAACTTGGGTTTTTCCAACATACTCTGTGTACTCCTTTTCTGCCTGCCACTTTCTATTTCCTTTCCTTATCCATTTGACCTCAGACCTCAGCCCCTGTCTTCTTTGTTGGATTCTTCTTTGCTGGCATGATTCTCTTGCCCATCCTTCCCTTTCTATATCTCTTTTCCCTATGCAGCCACAGGATAATATCCTTCTTATAAACCATTTAGGTCAAAACATGTTTGGTCATTAATTCTTCCTTTATTCACAAATCTGACAGGCAAAATATTCTATGCTCTCCTAATTTGTTTATGATATCACCCTTATGTCTAAATCATGTACCTATTTTCACCTTATCTTGGTATATGGTACGAGATGTTGGTCTGCACCTCATTTCTGCCAAACCAGTTTCTAGTTTTCCTGGCATTTTTTGTCAAATAGTGATTTCTTTTCCCCAAATCTTGGATCTTTGGGTTTGTCAAACGCTAGATTACCAAGGTCATTTACCATTGTGTATTGTGTACCTAATCTATTCTACTGACCTGTCAATCTATTTCTTAGCCAGTGCCAGATTGTTTTCTTGATTACCGCTTTGTAATATGGCTTGAGATCTGGTAGTACTAAGCCACCTTCCTTCACATTTTTTTCATTGATTCCCTTGATTTTCTTGACCTTTTGTTCTTCCAGATGAATTTGTTTATGATTTTTTTCTAGCTCTATAAATTTTTTTTTTGTAATTTGATCCTTATGGCATTGAATAAGTAAATTAATTTAGGTAGAATTGTCATTTTTATTATATTGGCTTGGCCTAATCATGAGCAATTAATATTTCTCTAATTGTTTAGATCTGACTTTATTTGTATGAAGTGTTTTGTAATTATATTCATATAGTTCATGGATTTGTCTTGGCAGGTAGAATCCTGAGTATTTATATTGTCTGCAGTTATGTTAGATGGAATTTCTCTTTCTATCTCTTCCTGCTGGACTTTGTTAGTAATATATAGAAAGGCTGATGATTTATGTGGGTTTATTTTATATCCCCCCTATTTTTTTTCCTTGAGTGAGGCCAAGGACTCTGCAGCCTCCCCTTTCTGTATTCAGGCTTTCTTGGTAAATTATCTGGCAGCTTGGTGATTAATGGACTTTATTTTTATCTAGTGCCCTTCAGACTTGTGATCCTTTGGGACAGGAAAGACCTTTGGAGAGGTCATATAGCCCATCCCCCTGTACTGGACAAAGAGTGCTTTTAATAATCCCTAATGCATCCTAAGTAGAGAGGTGTCTGGTCTCTTCCATGAATGTCCCCAGAGAGGGGGTTACCATAGCTGCCCTTTCCCCATTATTTCAGCTGTTCTTTGAATGATGGTCTCCCCTTATTATGAATCTAAATTTCCCCTACTGTAGCCCCTCTTGCCTTTTATTCCCTTCCCCTGAAACATATGAACATCCACAGTTCTACCAGTCCATTGTAGCCTCTCTCTTTAGGCTGCCTGACAATGCCCACATTTCTCTTTGCCTCTCCTGGTTCTGTTCTCCAGAATCAAATCTGTCAATTATGTGACCCTCCCTCTTCTGTGCTTTCTTTCAAGCCTGGGACTAAGTAGAGTGCTCAGATCTGAAACTATGTCAAGGTTTAGTCAGCAAGGAGTGGAATAGACTCATTTCTTTGTAAACTTTAAAGTGCTATATTAATGTGAGTTTTCCTTTTTTCTCACCTTAAAACAACAGCAGCAACTAACATTAGCACACTGGCTGTCCTCTGAATACAACTCCATTCAGTGGTACATTGACATATTTTGGCAGTATTGTTGCTTTGTATACACTGTCCCCTGCAAGCTCCCAATCCTCTTCAGTTCTGATACTGACACTGGTGCCCAGCCAGGTGTATGCTAGTTTATATATCTACATTTGGTGACTCCTGCCTCCATCAATCACTTTATATTTTGCCCTATTGAATCTCAATAAAGAGATGCAATATGTGACTTCAATATATAAGATTCAATAAGGACAAATTTCCTAAGATTGCACAGTAGTTAAATTCCATTCTCCACAGATTTGCAATCCCTGCCATCTTTGTATTATCTGCCAGTTGGATTTGCATAATTCCCTACTCCATCTTTCAAGTCATTAATGAAAATATCAAGTCATCTTGGACCCAGAAGAGAACCTTATGAGTCCCCATGCAGCACTTCTTCCAATATAGATGTGGAACGCTTAATGATTATTTTTCAAGTTTGATTTTGTTTAACCAGCCTTGGTATTTATTCCTTAGTATAGCTGTTCGATTGTGTTCTCATTTCCAATTTCCCTTAGGAGAGGGGCGGATGGAACAGTATTAAGTGCTTTGGTTACTAATGCCAGGTGATAGATATTTTGTCTGTTGCTTTCATCTAGCCACTGGGTATAGTGTTTCAGAGAAATAGTCAATTACTTGAACATGGTGAAGTTTTTTGTTTGGACCCATTCATGGTGCCTCTGGACTTA